GAACGCGGCCGGGCGCGGCACCCCCCCGCCCGCCCTGCGCCCCGAGAGCTGGACCAGCAACCCCCACCGCGGGGGCACCGGCGGCGGCAGCGGGGGCTCGGGGCCCGGCGAGACCCGCGGGCGCTTCTCCTGCCCGCGGGCGCTGAAGGTGCCCTCCTACCTGAACTACCGCTTCCTCGGGGAGAAGGACTGCGGGGCGCCCTGCGAGCCCGGCCGCCTCTACGGGCTCATGTACTTCGGGCCCGAGGAGCTGCGCTTCTCCCGCACCTGGATCGGCATCTGGTCGGTGCTCTGCTGCGCCTCCACCCTCTTCACCGTCCTCACCTACCTGGTGGACATGAAGCGCTTCAGCTACCCCGAGCGGCCCATCATCTTCCTCTCGGGCTGCTACACGGCTGTGGCCGTGGCCTACATCGCCGGCTTCCTGCTGGAGGAGAGGGTGGTCTGCAACGAGCGCTTCGCCGAGGACGGCTCCCGCACTGTGGCGCAGGGCACGAAGCGGGAGGGCTGCACCATCCTCTTCATGATGCTCTACTTCTTCGGCATGGCCAGCTCTATCTGGTGGGTCATCCTCTCCCTCACCTGGTTCCTGGCCGCCGGCATGAAGTGGGGCCATGAGGCCATCGAGGCCAACTCCCAGTACTTCCACCTGGCCGCCTGGGCCGTGCCGGCCATCAAGACCATCACCATCCTGGCCCTGGGGCAGGTGGATGGGGACATCCTCAGTGGCGTCTGCTTTGTGGGCATCAACAACGTGGACGCCCTGCGTGGCTTCGTGCTGGCCCCCTTGTTCGTCTACCTGTTCATCGGCACCTCCTTCCTGCTGGCCGGCTTTGTGTCCCTCTTCAGGATCCGGACCATCATGAAGCACGACGGCACCAAGACGGAAAAGCTGGAGAAGCTCATGGTGAGGATAGGCATCTTCAGCGTCCTCTACACAGTGCCGGCCACCATCGTCATTGCCTGTTATTTTTACGAGCAAGCTTTTAGGGAACAGTGGGAGAGGAGCTGGGTCACGCAGAGCTGTAAGAGCTACGCCATCCCCTGCCCCAACAACCACAGCAGCCACCACCCACCCATGAGCCCCGACTTCACCGTCTTCATGATCAAGTATCTCATGACCTTAATCGTGGGCATCACCTCGGGCTTCTGGATCTGGTCTGGGAAAACCCTGAACTCCTGGAGGAAGTTTTACACCAGGCTCACCAACAGCAAGCAGGGCGAGACCACCGTCTGAGACCCCTTCCGGAGGACCGGGGGCTCTGCCTGGGGGAAGTAGCTCCTCATCCAGCCTGGCCAAACTTTGGGGACCGCGCGCGAGTGGCTTCCGCGGGCGGCGGCGGGG